TGTTATATTAAACCGAGATATTAGGTAAGGAGTTCAGACCTACCAGGGACCAGCGCCAGAATCTGGCCCCTTCAGAGAGGTTTCAGGGAGCAACGGCCCTGGAAAACCCCCCTTGTGGTTGGGGTTTTCCTTATCTGCCATCAACTGGGGTCAGGCACCCAGAAAGGTAGGCATAACAAAACAAACCCCACATGGTAAAAAACTAAAACAAAAATCCGAACAGAGAGGTAGAAACTCCCTACAATCCCAAGGAAACAAGCAAACATCACACTTTACTGCCACGCCGATCGTCCGCGCAGCCCTCCCCGCCCCCGAGAGGGGGGGGGGAGGAGCCCTGGACCTACCGCGCCGGCAGCTTAGCTTCAGTTCGTAAGCTAATGTTAACCGGGATAGACACTTCTCTGGCCTCAGTTTCCTAGGTGGTGTTTGCCTTGTGTGGCGTTCACTACCGTGTGTTGTGTTGTGTGGTAGCCAGAGTACCTCATCAGTACCAGGGCTGCATGCGCTTACGGGCTTCCTTCCCTAAGCGCCTTGTGAGTACTGCCCCTGCGTAACAGGGTTATCTTCCCTGGGGCGTTCGGAAACCATTCCCGTAGAGGTTCTTGCTGCTCGGCATTTGCCTCGCCCTTGGGGCCAGCTGGGGCTTTGGGCCCTTGTTTGGCCCTGGGTCGGGACTGGTATTGTGCTGGTTAGGGTGTCACAGTGTTGCGCGACCTGCCACCTAAGCGGCGACTGGTACATGTTGCCTCTGGGGACGGTGTACTTTTGCGGGATTTTTCTTTTGTTTTTATTTTCATTTGCCTGGTGGGGGTCTGCCTAGTGTGGCTATAGTTCCACTGGTAGTGTTTGGTGGCCCTCTGCTAGGGCCCTGTGATTATACATGTTGCAGGGGTTTTCAGTGTTATCCTCTACTACCCCTTGTTATTTTTGGTTGTTTAACCGGTTAGCAACACCTTGCCCGGGCTTCTCATAGTTGTTACCCATACAGGCCCTGGAAACCCCTGTCGGGGCTCGGTGGACCATTGTATGTGTCTTCTGGGTCCCAACCCGTCTTGTACAGGATCGTTGGTTGCTGTGCCCTTGTCTCAGGGTGAAAGTCGCCACTTTTACCTCCGTCATGTTGCTTGTTGGGTCACTGATACCTTGACCCGGAGTCTTGCGAGAGATTCTCTGCTTGTTCTCCAGTACTCTCCTGATGTTATTACTGTTCAGAGTACAGGCGGCATCCGTGTTGCAAGCTAGGTTAGGTTACTGCAACATGCTAGGTTGGTTTCCCACTCGGATGCTCCAAGGCTGCCCCGTTTTGGTTCGGTGCTGTTTGCCCCCTGTTCCCGACTTCGGACTGTCTGCGGGTTTCGGGGTTGGGGCGGGGTTTAGTTGGGGCTGAGACTGGTGGTTTTCGGGGGCTGCCCCGTTCGGGTTGGGGGATGGAGGTTTTCGAGCCTGTTCCTCCTGCCAAGGCTTCTGGGTCTTACCAGCAACCCTTTCTTGCTGCCTTTTCCATGGACTCTTCCTTTTCTTTAACCTTAAATGGCGCATGGCTATATACCATTTGACACCCACAGGCACATAAAAAAAAAAAAAAAAAAGTTTTTTCCTTCCTAACCTGTTAATTTGTGTTCACTGACTATGGGAAAAATAATAAAAAAAATCATAAGTGGCATATATTGCCCGCTATAGGGTGGGGAAGTCTGGCAAAAAACAGGCGCTTACTCAGCGTGCGTCCCAGGCGGTCTGTTGCTTGCCAGCTGTCAGGCCGGAGTTGCCACAAAGAGATAATTACCTAATTATTTCAATGTCTCTGATTGATTTTTCGTAGTTTTTTTGCTGTATTATTATTCAATAGTGTGTAGTGTGATATATTTATATAATAAAATGAGTGAATCATCGCTGTACTCAAAAATATGGTGTGCATATTGTTGATTCAATTATGTTCATCAAACAGTGAACAAATACTTTGTCGGTTATTACACTATATACACAAGTTATATATAAATATCTGCATGTTTTGTTCACCATAACGAACCACTAAGTTGGCATGCTGAGTGGCAGTGCCAGTGGCAGGCCGCCACTGCCTGCTACTTCCTCCCTCCCTCAAGTCACCCGACTCACCCACATTCTCCTCCCACAATACTGTTTTTGCTTTTATTCACTATATACAGACACTATATATAAGTATCTACATTCATGTTCACTATAATGAACCACTAAGTTGGTATGGTGAGTGGCAGTGCCAGCCCACCACTGGCTGCCACTTCCTCCCTCCCTCCCTCACCTCACCTGACTTGCCACCATTCTCCTCCCACCATACTGTTTTTGCTTTTATATACAGACGTTATATATAAGTATTTACATGTTTTGTTCACCATAACTGTACATCTAAGCTTGTATAGTGAGTAAAGGCACAAAGACGTAGGACCTCACACAGTCAGCTGATGGCGGCCGCCCTCAAGGCCAGACGCACTAATATTTCTCCTCCAACAATACTGTTTGTGGTGTTATTATGCTATATACACACATTATATATAAATATCTACCTGTTTTATTCACCATACTTGTACAAGTAAACTGGTATGGTGCCCAAAGACCATCGTGGTAACCAGTAAACAACATGATAAATCGTGCAGACGACGCCACCGCCCTCACCAAAATGGCGGCTCCCAACCTACTCCTCTTGCTGTTTATACTCTCTATACACATGTTTTATATAAGTATCTACATTTGTGTTCACCATAGCGAACCACTAAGCTGGTATGCTGAGTGCAGTCAATAAAAGTTGGCCACACACAGTCAGAAGACATCGCCACCACCTTCCCTCCCACAGCATTACTCCTCCCTCCATGGCGCACAGCGCTAAATATCACCACAATCCTGCTATTATCAGAACCCTGGTCAGTTTTATCACAGTCAGGGGTCTTCTGTAATAATATCATCGCTACATAATAGCATGAACAAGTATATTATGGCATTTTTAGGCGATGCTGTGGTCACAAGCTGAACAGCAGTGCTGTGAGCTCATGCTGCGTGCGTCAGGCTTGGTAGCTCACTCAATACTGAGGCCCCTAACACCCGGGAGTTTGGCCCACGATTTTTTTTTAAAATGGCGTCTGTTTACAAGAGCCCCTAATGAAGGTGTGGTGAACCCCGTGTATCTGCGGGCCGTTTAAATCTTGCGTAGTACTCCAAAGCATCACATGATGCAATTTACTGCAAGTCGGTCAAAGCATCATATGATGCGATGCGCAATTTAAGGGTTAAAAAAAAAAAATCAAGAGAATTTATTTCCTGTGCACTGGGGGGGGGGGGTGTCATATTTGGAGGCGGCGCAGTTAAAGGGTTAAGGTTGACTTCATCGTTCAGTCATATATTATGAGATTTTTGTTGTGATTTTGATAAGTGTTATATGATTAATTATTTCAGTAAATGTTAAGCTTGATTAAGCCATCAAATTAGGGTCCCATGGAAATCAGACGGCGGACGCTGAAGATACCAGCGGCTAGCCGGGTTCGGGAGCTAGAGCCAAGCCCAGCGGCTATTGCCGAGTAGCCGTGTTTGGTGGCAGAGCTAGCGTTTCCAGTCTCGTCGAAATCGGACGGCGGGTGCCGAAGTTAACTAGCTCCTAGTTAAATAGCTTGAAGTTAAATAGCTCCTTCCTTGGTGTCCATGGGGAAGAGGCTGATATTCTAGCTAGACAAAGTGAGTTGTCAAAACTAATCTGACAAGTTAATTGTCGGAGCAAGAGGAGATTTTGGTGGGAGACACTGATAATTATAGGGAGTGGTGTTTAACAGCAGGACATAACCAACAACAGTGTACCTGACACAGACTGTTGCTTAAGAATGTCCCCCCCCTCATCATGATTGAGGCGGCAACCCAAGTACTATCCTGACAGTGCAGAGACAGCATTCGTCTTCCCACGAGAGTTTAAGTGAGTGCTTGAGAAGAGGAATACTCTGCCCATCAGTTTAGATTATTTTAATGTAACCTCCACACCACCATGTGGTTATCACATTTGGGGGGGAGGGCCCATATCCGGGAGAAGAGAAGCCTGGTCGTTACATTAGGGGGCTCTGTCTGAGACAAGTCTGGGTGGTCGTAACACCAGTCAAACTGGTCCAAGCATGAGGGGGGAACTATTGTTGGATCTGTATTGCCCTGGCGGTGATGAAGAGTGTGCAGGGCAGGCTGTAGGTCCTGCATGATGTTGCAGATGAGTTAGAGATGATCTTGGTGGAACAAGATGTAACAGATATGGCTATTGGATAATCAGGTTATCAGGATGATTTCGGGGCTTAAGTGTCCCCGCGGCCCGGTCCTCGACCAGGCCTCCACCCCCCAGGAAGCAGCCCGTGACAGCTGACTAACACCCAGGTACCTATTTTACTGCTAGGTAACAGGGGGCATAGGGTGAAAGAAACTCTGCCTATTGTTTCTCGCCGGCAAGGTTGCAGGAAGGTTTGCAGGAAGGCAAACCTTCCATAGCAGGCAATAATTGAGGATGAAATCCAGTAAGACGCTGTAGGCAATAGATGACTATCAGGGCCAAAACAAATTCATGCAGCACACTGGCATTGAGCACAAAGCAAGGTCTTCTAAACTGCCATAATACTGTGCAGGTATGTCCAATGCTAGGGATGGAGAAGAACAGGTCATACAGCCCTAGGACATGTCACAAGGTCTTCCTGTTCTGGCTGAAGGTATGGGGAGGAAGCCTTGTTGCCAAGGCACTCGTACGAAGATAATTTAAAATTGCCTTTAACTCCAATGCCAAAATGTCACTGTGTCTGACGTTTTTGATCCTGGTTAGTAGCCAGGGGATTTGACCTTGGGGGAAAAGTAAACATTACCTCCAAACCGTATAATGAATGTAACAGTGCATTTAGTGTAGGAAGCAATTGTTATTGGAAATTTTATGCAGTATTCTCAAAGATGTGTTAATCTCATTCTTGTTATAAATCTTTGTCTCATATGAATATTACATGTTATGATTTTATTTTCAGTGTGAGAGGGAGAAATGCTTTGGACAAAGCCATAGCTGAAGCTGTTCAGGATAACACCACGCACTGTCAAGATTATCAAGCCCCACAGCTAAGAAGAAACAAAACAACATGTGCGGACTCCCCAACCACTCTGAACATCGCTGTGGATGGACCACTGGATGGACTGGGTAGTGGACCAAAGAACAGATCCATAAACAGACAAGCCAAACCAGCCTTAAAGCGCCAGCACATGCACATAGCCCACGTTAAACAAGTGATGTCAGCAGAAACTAAGAAAAGATTAACAAGTAAGACAAAATGTCTGACTCTGACTACGGCATTGCTTGTTCGGGAGTCATCATCTTCCCTGCCTCACCAACACCTTCTTCCTGCATCTAATTCTGCTGCTGTGACACCACCAAGAAACAGATCAAGACGAAGGGTCAGGTGACATGCACCACTTACCACTTTATAAGCTAAAATGTGATGAAATTATTTCAATTTCTTTTTGGAATATGCAAAACCTAACTATAATTAGCCATTGCAAATCGTAAATCAAAAGAGATTAAACAATTTAAAGATGCACAAGAGGCTCCTTTATATTTTCATAAATTTCCCCTACAATTTTAATTATATCCATACAAATTTTAGTTTTTAATTAATCAATTTATGGTAAAGACTTCATAGCATTTAGAAATTAATTTTTATCATGCTCTAATTACAAATGTGTGTAATTTGCTAAATACTTTTCCTTAATGCATAACACTTAACATTGGATTAAACACCAGTATTAAAAGCTATTAAGCTTAATGAAAATTATCAATGAGTGTATTTTCAAATTCAGATAAAATACTGTACAAGAATATGGTTTACTGTATTTAAATAGAACAAAATTCAGTTTGCCCTAAAGAATATATTGTTCATAAGAATACATATCAACATTTAGTGTAATTCCTACACAATGATAATCATTTGTGCCATTGATGATCTCATAGTTGATTAGATTTTGGCCCCACTATAGGTGATAGTACTGATGAGCCTCGCACTATATGCAACACATTTTGAACCCCGGATTACTTCATCATTGCCATTCTCCTGCGGCACCACCATACCTAGTCAAGACAATATTTGACATGATAATTTTAATATATACTTTCCAAGTTCTCATCTTGGCTAGGATACTTTGTACTGAGAACTGCTGATGATTTTAAGAAATGTCCATTAACCCTCTAGCTACACAATTAGATTTCAATAGTATGAATCTGTTTGAGAAGTGTTATCTTGAGGTTATCTTGAGATGATTTCGGGGCTTAGCGTCCCCACAGCCCGGTCCTCGACCAGGCCTCCTTTTTGTTACACACCCCCTGGGAAGCAGCCTGTAGCAGCTGTCTAACTCCCAGATACCTATTTACTGCTAGGTAACAGGGGCATCAGGGTGAAAGAAACATTTTGCCCATTTGTCTCCGCCTCCACCGGGAATCGAACCCAGAACCTCAGGACTACGAATCTGAAGCGCTGTCCACCCAGCTGTCAGGCGCCTTCCACCCAGCTGTCATGCGCTTGTTTACCTAACAGGCGCCTGGCAGCTGGGTGGAGTATGGCGCCTGACAGCTTTACCTAGAGTATGTCTGGTGTATACCTCGAGTATGTCTGGTGTATGCTCTGAACTTTTAAAATAATGAAGGTTTTTTATTTTTACTAAAGTTTGAACGTCATCATTTGAGAGTTACATAAGAAGTACTGTACATTTAATTCATAAATGGTAGGAATGACAGGTGCATGGAAGTTATTTAGGACATTTGGTTTGCTGCTGGGTTACCCACAGTACCACTCCCCGGCCACTGCTTGCCACAAGCCAGTTACAATTACATTTTGTTTATTATGCAGTTAGGAAAGACTCCAGTCACATTGTATTTACACCAAGGCATAAATATAAGCTCAAACTCTTGATGTAATTCAGTACATCAAAACCAAACCAATTGTTAGGAATCTGATGACAGTAGTTGAAGGTCATAGGAAAAGGGTTCAAATAATAGGATAAAATTGTTATACAAGTGGGGATAATTAAAGGACTCATAAATGTGCAGGATTCTTCATTGTCAGTTCATGTAATCAGTTATCAAACAGATCATTTTCATTTGCAACAGATGCTTCTTCTGAGAGATACTAGACCCAACAACTGGCTTATAATATTTTATGGCATAATTTGAAGGCATTGCAAATTCCATAATGCAAAGTTTTAAGTGTGGTAATTTGGTAGTTGTATAAAACATTTATGCAATATATATTTACCAATTATTTGATGGTTTTAGTGATGTGGCTTGAGTACTATTTAATAAAATGAGGATTTCTGCTTGCCAATAAAACCTAGAACTTGATGTAAGGAGTAACTAGTAAACATTTATACTCTAAACTCATATCTTGCACATAGAGGAACATTGAGTGTAGCTGTTTACCATGTCACTGGTGAATGTGCAGTGCAAGTCCAAAGATGATGTAAATATACTTGGCAACACCAAGTTCCGCAAAAATTTACACCAAAACTGTTTACAAAATTGAAAAAAATCAACTTATGATAGTTTGGAATATTATGAACATTTATATACTTTAGTGTTATTAATTATTCTTGATGTAAATTAAAATGTTAGAGGAAGCAGTTATATTATGATGTATACTTATGAAAGATCTTAATACAATATGGATACACACACACACACACACACACACTGGAGTGTCTCATTCTGGAGACATTCTTGTATCAACACATAAAGCAAGCCACAAGAATGAGGGAAGGAGATATACCGTCAGTACTGGATCTAGTATTCACCAGGAAAGAAGAAGAGATTTTTGACATCCAGTACCTTCCTCCCTTGGGAAAGAGTGATCACGTCCTGTTAGACATTAAATATGCTTTAAGATATCATCTAGAAGAAAATGGGGACATTGAAACAGTTGATAAACTCGATTTAAAGAGAGGCAACTATGGGGAACTTCGAAATTTTTTTAATGAGTGTAATTGGACAGAATTGTTGCTAGGTAGGGAAGTAAATGAAATGTATGCCAAATTTTTAAAACTATACGAGGAAGGCACACAAACATTCATACCAAAACAGAGATGCAGGACCAAAAAACAGGATTGGTTCGACAGAAATTGTGAGAGGGCAAGAGACCAAAAGACACAAAAATGGAATCAGTATAGGAAGAGGCCAAACCCCCAAACATACCAGCGATACAAAGATGCGAGAAACAATTATACAGCAGTAAGGAGAGAGGCAGAAAGAAATTTTGAAAAAGGGATAGCAGATAAATGTAAAACAGAACCGGGCCTATTCTACAAATTCATAAACAACAAATTGCAGGTAAAGGATAATATCCAGAGGTTGGAAATGGGAAACAGATTCACGGAAAATGAAAAGGAAATGTGTGAAACATTAAATGAAAAGTTCCAAAGTGTGTTTGTACAAAATGAAATCTTCAGAGAACCAGACACAATAAGAATTCCAGAGAACAACATAGAGCGGATAGAGGTGTCTAGAGATGAAGTGGAAAATATGCTAAAGGAGCTCGGGAGGAACAAAGCAGCTGGCCCAGATGGCGTTTCACCATGGGTTCTGAGAGAATGTGCATCTGAGCTCAGCATTCCACTTCACCTGATCTTTCAGGCATCCCTGTGTACAGGAATCGTAGCAGACGTGTGGAAACAGGCTAACATAGTTCCAATCTACAAAAGTGGCAGCAGGGAAGACCCCCTCAATTATAGACCTGTATCATTGACAAGTGTAATAGTGAAAGTATTGGAAAAGCTAATCAAAACTAAATGGGTAGAACACCTGGAGAGAAATGATATAATATCAGACAGACAGTATGGTTTTCGATCAGGAAGATCCTGTGTATCGAATTTACTCAGTTTCTATGATCGGGCCACAGAGATATTACAGGAAAGAGATGGCTGGGTTGACTGCATCTATCTGGACCTAAAAAAGGCTTTCGACAGAGTTCCACATAAGAGGTTGTTCTGGAAACTGGAAAATATTGGAGGGGTGACAGGTAAGCTTCTATCATGGATGAAAAATTTTCTGACTGATAGAAAAATGAGGGCAGTAATCAGAGGCAATGTATCGGAATGGAGAAATGTCACAAGTGGAGTACCACAGGGTTCAGTTCTTGCACCAGTGATGTTTATTGTGTACATAAATGATCTACCAGTTGGTATACAGAATTATATGAACATGTTTGCTGATGATGCTAAGATAATAGGAAGGATAAGAAATTTAGATGATTGTCATGCCCTTCAAGAAGACCTGGACAAAATAAGTATATGGAGCACCACTTGGCAAATGGAATTTAATGTTAATAAATGTCATGTTATGGAATGTGGAATAGGAGAACATAGACCCCACACAACCTATATATTATGTGAGAAATCTTTAAAGAATTCTGATAAAGAAAGAGATCTAGGAGTGGTTCTAGATAGAAAACTATCACCTGAGGACCACATTAAGAATATTGTGCAAGGAGCCTATGCAATGCTTTCTAACTTCAGAATTGCATTTAAATACATGGATGGCGATATACTAAAGAAGTTGTTCATGACTTTTGTTTGGCCAAAGCTAGAATATGCAGCTGTTGTGTGGTGCCCATATCTTAAGAAGCACATCAACAAACTGGAAAAGGTGCAAAGACATGCTACTAAGTGGCTCCCAGAACTGAAGGGCAAGAGCTACGAGGAGAGGTTAGAAGCATTAAATATGCCAAAACTAGAAGACAGAAGAAAAAGAGGTGATATGATCACTACGTACAAAATAGTAACAGGAATTGATAAAATCGACAGGGAAGACTTCCTGAGACCTGGAACTTCAAGAACAAGAGGCCATAGATTTAAACTAGCTAAACACAGATGCCGAAGAAATATAAGAAAATTCACCTTCGCAAATAGAGTGGTAGACGGTTGGAACAAGTTAAGTGAGAAGGTGGTGGAGGCCAAGACCGTCAGTAGTTTCAAAGCGTTATATGACAAAGAGTGCTGGGAAGACGGGACACCACGAGCGTAGCTCTCATCCTGTAACTACACTTAGGTAATTACTTAGGTAATTACACACACACACACACACACACACTCGTTCGTTCATTTGTTCGTTCGTTCGTGTTCATGGAACACGAACAATGGGACACAGGTGGAAGCTAAGTACCCAAATGAGCCAGAGACATTAGAAAGAATTTTTTCAGTTTCAGAGAAGTTAACAAATGGAATGCATTAAGTAGTGATAGGAGGCTGACTCCATACACAGTTTGGAGTCAGCCTGACTCCAAAGGTGGAGGCTGACTCCATACACAGTTTCAGATGTAGATTTGATAGAGCCCAGTAGGCTCAGGAATCTGTACAAACAAAGCTACCGGAGAAATATACGAAAAATCACTTTTGTAAACAGTGTGGTAGACGGTTGGAACAAGTTAAGTGAGAAGGTGGTGGAGGCCAAAACCGTCAGTAATTTCAAAGCATTATATGACAAAGAGTGCTGGGGAGACGGGACACCACGAGCGTAGCTCTCATCCTGTAACTACACTTAGGTAATTACCAGTTGGTTAACAGTTGAGAGTCGGGACCAAAGAGCCAGAGCTCAATTCCTACAAGCATAACACTTAATAGGGAAGATAAGAAATCTAGATGATTGTCATGTCCTTCAAGAAGATCTTGACAAAATAAGTATATGGAGCACCACTTGGCAAATGGAATTTAATGTGAACAAATGCCATGTTATGAAATGTGGAATAGGAGAACATAGACCCCACACACCCACCCACACATTTGAGTGTAGCTCTCATCCTGTAACTACACTTAGGTAATTACCCTATAAATTATGTGAGAAATCTATAAAGAATTCTGATAAAGAAAGAGATCTAGGGGTGGTACTAGATAGAAAACTATCACTGAGGACCACATTAAGAACATTGTGCGAGGAGCCTATGCTGCACTGTCTAACTTTAGAGTTTCTTTTAAATATGTGGATGGCGAAATACTAAAAAAATTGTTCACGATCTTTGTTAGACCAAAGGTGGAATATGCAGAGGTCGTATGGTGCCCATATCTTAAGAAGCACATCAACAAACTGGAAAAGGTGCAAAGACATGCCACTAAGTGGCTCCCAGAAGTGAAGGACAAGAGCTACGAGGAGAGGTTAGAGGCATTAAACATGCAAAAACTAGAAGATAAAAGAAAAAGAGGCGATGTGATCACTACGTACAACATAGTAACAGACTCGATAAAATTGGTAGGGAAGAATTCCTGATACCCGGAACTTCAAGAACAAGAGGTCATAGATTTAAACTAACGAAACAAAGCTGCCGGAGAAATATAAGAAAATTCACTTTCGCAAACAGAGTGGTAGACGGTTGG